CCACCCCCTTTGAGCCCCTGGAGTCGTGCACCCCAGGGCCTCCCGCTCCACCTGGGGCATCTGCAGGCCTCGCTCCAGTCAGGAGAGAACACAGCAAAGTCAGCAAAGCTCGAGGAAAAGCTGGGAGTGATTTCTGGTGCCTTCCAAGGTTAGAAGCCACAGGAACACACTGCGTCTTCCCGAGACCCACGCTGCTCAGGGTCTGTGTCCCCCAGACTCGCACCCGGAAGCCCTAACCCCCAGCGTGGCTGCTCTGGAGATGGGGCCTCTAAGGAAGCGATTAAGGTCAAATGAGGTCCTAAGGGTGGGGCCCCGGTGATGGGATTAGTGTCCTTGTGAGAAGAGGGAGAGCCCCTCTGTCCCCAGGTGAGGACACGGAATAGGTGGCTCCTGTGAACCAGGGGCGGGGCCTCAGCAGCACCCTGGCCGCCCCTGACCTGGGCTTCCGCCTGCAGGGTGTGGGTGTCACTGTTTGAGCTAAGGCCCCGTGGATGGCACGAGTCGTGGCAGCCGGAGCTGAGACCTGACAGGACCTGGGCCTCGGTCCTGAGCCTCCCATGTGACCCCTGTACCCCGAGAGCTCTGCATTCGCACCAGCCACACAGGCTGGCTCCCCTCGGGCTCTTCCTGTCCTGTGCCCACACCCAGCGGGCCACCCGCTGTGTGAGGGGATGTGGCTGGGGTCAGGGTGGAGGGCGGGTGAGCAGCAGGCCTGAGGCCTGCCTGGTGGAGGCGCTGGCCCGGTGAAGCCCTGTGCTCCACGAGTGGCCGAGTGGCCGGTGAGCTCACCTGGGGAAGCAAGAGGTGGCACCTTGGGGCTGAGTCTCCATGGAAGACGGTGACCGACTGTACCAGGGAGGAGAGGGCGAGGCCCCGGGCCGGGAGCATCTCTGAGCGCAGGGACACGCTGGAGAAGAGGCGGGTGGGCGGGTTGTAGAGGAGAAAGTGCACGGACACGGCCCTGGTGCTGCCGTCCACCCAGCGGCGGGCCCGGAGCCCGGTCAGGGCTGTGCGGGCTGTGGACCTGCAAAGCACGCGAGTCAGAGGGGAGGCCGTGCAGAGAGGCTCCAGCTGGGCCCTGCCAGCCTCTGACGTGGCCCTGCATTCACGGGACTTTACAGGCGGTGACTCCTCACTGTCCACTCCTCTCCCTCCCTGCCCGGGAGGGACCCCAGGCCGAGGGGGTCCTAGAGAGAGGCAGCCTTCCGTTTCCCAGTGTCCAGCTCAGGAGGGATCGCCACCTCTTGCCACAGGCCCTGCGGGAGGGATGGACCAGCAGCCGTGGGAGACACTGACCTCCGCTCACACTGACCTTGTCCTGCCCAGGATGAGCTCACAGTCCTCCCTGCAGGCCTCAGGGTCACTTGGGGCCACTTTTTGAATTTCTGCGTCTCTCATGGAGGGGATTTTGGGGTCACACGTAGGCAGAGAGTCTTCAGTAAGTGCTGAGAGTGGCCCGGGAAGCTACAGAACAAACCAGAACCAGAGCAGGACTCAGGTGCACGTTTCCACATCCACCCTGCACCCTGGGGTGTCCTGGGGTGTCCGAGCCAGGCTGCTCCTGGGCACACACGCTGACCTGAAACGTGGCCTCAGCCCCTCAATCCCCACTTTGATCCATCCTGAGCCCCAGTGACCAGACCCCCCGGGAAAGTCTGCACCTGCGGGATCCCCAGTCTGACCTGGGATGTCAGGAGAGTTTCTGTCACAGACGGTGCAGAGGACATGCCATCCTCACACCCCCCTCCCGCTAGGACAAGATATGAGGCATTCTAGTTTTACATGTTTTAGATAGAAGTCCCCGGATTTGCACAGAGAACCGGGGCGGGGGGCCCATTCGGGGAGCAGCTGGGCCGGAGGGGAGAGGGTGGCAAAGGCCATCAGCTCTCCCAACCCAGCACCCAGGACTCATCACAGACAGGCTCCCAGAGGCGGTGCCAATGGCCTGCGGTTTCCTGCACGTGGGTCGCCCAGAGTTTTCTCATTCGGTGTTTTTAGAAGTAAAGAGAGCTTCTCACCTGGGAGCTGCTTACCTCGCACGCACGGCCAGGAGGGAGCTTCAGCTGTTTGAGGACGGGCGGGCCTATCAGGTAGCATGTTCCCCCAAGAGCCCCGGGCTGCAGGAAGGAGGAACCGGCCACACCGTGAGCCTGGAGCACCCGCCCCGGCAGACCGACAGCACGGCCCGGCCTCCACGTTAGAGTCAGAGGCCAGAATGGTCCTTCCCTCTCACGACACTCTAAGGGTCCAACCAGCACCCTCAGGAGACAGCAGCTGCCTCCAGTCTCTGCGCCACACCCAAGTGAGCTCCTTTGACCTTTCCCTAAATTTTCCCCGTGTCGGCCCGGCAGCCACACGGACGGCAGCCACACGGACTTCAGCCACGGTAGAGCGAGAACTGGGTTTGAGGGATGCAGGACTAAGTCATTTTTTTTAAGGTAGAAAATAAGACAAGCAAGGATCAGGTTATTCTACAAAATGCATGTTCACTGGTAACTTTTCCTTTAGAATGTGGGACAAGCTCGCTTCTTTCTGGAAGGTTCCTGGTGCTCCCATCTTAGCTGTTTCCTCTCTCCTGTTCCCGAGGTGCCCGTGGCCCTGTCACGGCACGTGGCACTCTGAAATAGCCTCCCACCCCTGCCGGCCACGGGCTCTGTGGACCGGCCACGCCCTGCGTCCACCGCCGCCTGGCAAACGCAGGGATCTGGGGAAGCTTGCGTGGCGAGGGTGAGGGCTGGGGCGAAGGTGTGCTGGGTACGGAGGGGACAGGATGTGCTGGGCCACGGGCACCCACTGTGGACAGCGCTGGCCCTCAGCCCAGGCATCATTCCAGAACCTACGGTGTGGCCCTCAGTACTTCTGACGACTTGCCCACCGCGAGGGGTCGGGAGCAGAGGGAAGCCCACCTGAGCGCCCGGTGAGCCGGCGGTGGGTGAGCCGTCCCGGTACAGGCCGTCCAGCAGCGTGGTCAGGCTCCAGTCCCACCAGGTGTCCACACCGCTCGGGCTGCTGGAGGTGCTCCTGGTACCTCTTAATAACAGAAACAAAAGTCACTTTCTCTGACACAAATGCGGGGCAGCCTGCAGTCATTAAGCAGAAGCTGTCGCAGTGTGAGGCACAGAACACGAGCACGTGGCCCCCGAGCGCCCAGCAAGAGGACAGGTGGACTCGTTCCTCCGAAGGTTCACGCGCTCGGTCACCCACTGAGCCAGCGTCACTGTGGGGACCCCTGCCTGCCGGGCTCTCCTCCGGGCGGAGGGGGGCGTGAGGAGAGTCAGACCCCTGCCCTCGTGGGGAAACACCACAAACAAATAAGCAAAACATGTTGGTGACAAGCATCCAGGAGAGGAAACTGAGCAGGGGACACGGACGTTTCAGCAGGACCGAAGGCAACGGAGGCGACCACCGGGACGCCTGAGGGGGACGTTCTGGGGGGAAGGCGAGGCGGAGGCCTGGACGGGCACCCGCCGGGGGCGAGGGGGTGCGGAGGCGGCTGAGGCAGGGGAGGGTCCCAGGGAGGCTGGGCATCCTGTGGGAACGTGTTCCACGCCCAGGTTGTGGCTCTGAGCCTCGGTGCAAGCTCCCGGGCGCACGGGGCCACCGCACAGGAGCGAGCTCTGCTGCTGCACTGCGGAGGCCACGTTCACGCGAGACACGCGTCGGGGCTTCCCGAGGGAGGCAAGCAAACCAGCAAAGGCAGACTCGCCTCAGGCCAGGCTCCGCCTCCAGGGAGCCAACCAACCAGCCCCTTGTTGCACACACAGCGCCACCTGCTGGCAGCAACCGCCCTGCGCAGGGCAGGGCTGAGAAGGGGGGGCCAGTGGAATCCCTGCTGTTTCTGCAAAGGGGGAGCCAGAAACCCCACTTCCTCTCACTGCTGGGACGCTCGCCTGTGACAGGGGGCCCACTGAGCTATGGAGACGCGGGCTCGTGACCTGGGTGCCAGGTCCCGCCCGACTAGCGGGTCTTAAATCTACATCACCCCCATCATCTGGTTGGGTGTCAATCACCCTCTCTCACAGAAGATAAAATAAATGTCCTTAAATAAGATAGAACAATAGATAGATTTGCCAGCCACCTACCTGTGCCAAAAAAAGTCAATGAAAATAATTTACATAAAAATAAATTTCTGAGTCAAAGGCAACCTGTTCCCAGAGGAGCTGCAAGGATGTGTGTGAATCTCCTCCAGGAAAAGTGAGCCGGGCGGCACCTCACGTCCCGCCACCGAGGCCACAGGGAAGAACCACTGTGAACTCACGTCACACACTTCAGAGCCTGGACCCAAACGGCCTCAAAGGGCTCCTGCGCTAAACCCGTTCTACAGGTGAAAATCTGGCCGGACCACCAATCCCGTGGCCGTGGTCAGGGAGAGGAGCACCGCGTGTAGGCTGGGAGTGGAGAGGAGACACGGTGGTGCAAAGGTGGCCTGTGGGGGGAGCGTGCGGAGACTGCTCCTGTTTGTAGGTTCTTCCGTGTCTGTTTACCACGAACATCTACTCATTTAACAGAAGGAAACAGTGAACACCTGAGAAGTTGCTGGGTGGGCGTGGATCTGACAATACTCGATGTGGAGTCATTTACTGCGAATCGACAGCCTATGACAAGAGCTCAGCTGTTTCCCCCAAACGGAACGGCGGCGACACCCTGTTTTGCCTCCGCATCTCGGCTCCCACTGCCTTGAAATACCAGTTTCACTATTTACCCAAATGAGATGCTATGAAGGTGCCCAAAGTCTGGGAAAGGAGGCCTCCCAGGACCAGCGGGGACACGAGTCCGGGGGATCTGACAGCCTCTCCACTTCCTGTGGGAGGCGTGAACAAGAGCCTCGCCTGGGTGACACGTCTCTAGAATGTGGATTAGGGGGCCCGGTGCGTCCCTTCCTCTCCATTTGCTCAGTAACAGCTTGGTGACCCCGCCTGGAGTCCCGACCCACTGCCCCTCCATGGGCACCACCGGCAGTTGCCCCGGGTCCGAGGGCTCGCCTCCCGCCCCACCTGGTGAACGCGTCCCGGACGGCCCGGCGGAGGGAGTGTGCGCCCCGGGAGGCTGTCCCGCGGACTATGAGCAGGTGCAGGAGCAACATGAGGATGCACATGCCAGTGTCTCTGTAAGAAAGACATTTAAAATGAGCATTTTCACAGCCGCACGTGCAGACCCAGCCGGAGGCTTCTGGTGGGAGAGGCTCTTACATCCCTGGGTGGGGATGTTTGTAAAGGGGTGAAGTATGTGTTGAGGCTCATTTTTTTTACACACTGACATCCAACTGTTCTGGCTCCATTTGTTAAATGAATTGCCTCTGGGCTTCTGTCAAAAGAATCAGCTGGGCGCGTTTGTGTGGGTCTGTTTCTGGGCTCCTGTCGTGTCCTGGTCTGCGTGTCCGTCCATCCCCGAGTCCACGGTGTCTGGGTTACGGGGCTTTATGCCGAGTCCTGAGGTCGGGCGGTGTGGGCCCGCTGACTGTTCTTTCTCAGGATTGCTTTGGCTCATCCAGTTCCTTGCTTTCCATGTATGTTTTGGAATCGGTTTGTCAGTATCTACAGAAAAAGCTTCCGGGTTTCGGTCGGGGTTGTGCTGAATCTATAGGTCAAGCTGGAAAGAACTGACACCCGAGGATACCGAGTCTCCCATCAGTGACCTCAGTGTCTCCACTTCTTTAGAGCTTTGGTTTCTGTCATCAGTGTTTTGTGGTTTTCAGCGCATGAACTCCACGTTTTCTTTGACTTATATTTGCCTCATTTCTTAGGTGCTGCCCTGACCCAGGAGCCCCGGCCAGGAGTGAACGTTTCCGCCCTTCTCGCCACCAGTCCTTGCGGAACCCAGGCCACGCAGTCAGTTTCCCGGCACCCCGTGGACTGGGTGCACGGGGGTGGCTCTGGGGCCAGCAGGGGTCCCGCCTCGTTTCCCTCCCAGCTGCTGGTCGCTTGCTCTGAAGGGGCAGCTGCCCAGAGCTCGGGGCCCCCGCCCACCTCAGCGCCGCCCGGGTGCGCGTCCGTCTTCTCATCCTCTCCCGGGTGACCCTGAGCCGGGCCGCAGACGGTGGACGCGCCCGGCGCAGGCGGCGAGCTCGCTGTCGTTCAGCCAGGACCTGGGGGCGAGAGAACCGTGAGCCTGGGGCAGTGTCACTGCCTTTGCACTCGGCCTGGGGTTGGGCCCCGCACACCAGGCTGCGGGGCAGCTGGCGGGAGAGGGGAGACTGTTTACCACTCTGTCCCGTGCCCGTGGCCTCGTTGGCAGGGACCAGCCGGGCCCTCACAGTCTCGGCCACAGAAGGCTCTAGGGCAGTTCTCTCCCTGACCCTCAAAGGGCAGAAAGCCAATTGAAAGTGTGGACTTAGCAAGAAATGACCTTTGTTTTCCGTGGCCATAGCTGCCTGCTAGTCATTCCACAGAGCACAGGAGGCCCACGCAGGCCACGGGCACGTCCTCCTGGGGCCCTTACACCTTCCTCTCCTTTCTGTCATCCACATGGTCAGGACAACACTGCATATGATGGGGACAAATGGTATGGAAGGAGGGGGAGGAGGAGGAAGGAGGGGGAGGAGGGAGGAAGGAGGGGGAAAGGA